CTCAGTACGCACCGTGACGAGAACTATGACCCACTAGTCGATGCCACAGTGCCTCTTGTTTTTCGATACTGCTGCTGGGTCTGGGACCGTCGTGCTAGTGATGTAGATCTTTGGCATGCGTGGAACGCGGCGGCCTCACGGCTAGCCAACAGACCGCTCTGGAGGGATGTTCGAGGGCCCGTGGGAGCCGTCTTTTTGAGCCTGCTGCGTGTGGGATGGGCCCTTGTGGGACCGACCCATGTTCGGACCGACCAGGGAGCTGTTTTGTCGCTTTGCCACGCTTCGCCTTGGGATTTAAAACGCCAGCTCATCGAGGGTATCAACAGGGCACAGATGATTCAGCTTGTGTCGGCCATCCCCGAAGTTTCTGGCGAGGAGATTGTTTGGGGTCGTGCGCTGCGGGTCGCGGTAAACTCCGTGAGGGAACCTAAGAGGCGCGCGACTTTGAAGGCCTTGCTAGCAGGGGGGCTCTGGCCGCCAGCTCGGAAGTTTAGTCATGGTCTAGCTGATTCGAACCTCTGTCAGTTTTGCAAGCAGCAGATAGGCACGTTCGGCCATCACTGGCATGAATGTGAAGAGCTCTGGCGCCAGGGTGACGCCCCAGAGGCAGGGCCCGCATTGCCAGAGGAAAGTTTCAAGCGACGGCAGCTGCTCAAGGACTCGGCGCGAGGAATCCCCCCCGACTTTGATTCGGTTGAGTTGGTTTACGGTTTGCCGTTTCAGCCTGTGTTTTTGGAGCCGGCCCCGAGCGTGCTGCCTGTTTTTTCCTGGGGGGCCACCCACCTTCCTTGGGGAAAACGTGTTTACACCGACGGCTCGGGCCACGCCAACGGAGTCCCCGAGATGGCCCGCTGCGGCTGGGCCGTGGTCGAGATGTCGGCCCGAGGTTGGCCGATCAGGGCCCTGTATGGAGGCCTCGCGGGACGGTGCCAGACGGTGCCACGAGCCGAACGGCAAGCCCTCTTGGAAGCCTTGAAGGTGGTCCCCCCTGGAGCTGAGCTGGTCTCGGACCACCGCTCGGCCGTGATCGAGGGCAACAGCTGGGATCCAGCCCTGGCGACGGGAGCGTTCAAGCACGCGTCAATCTGGAGAAAAATTTTTAAAATCGTAGGATCGAAGGAACGACCTTCCTTCCGTTGGACCCCCGCCCATGGAGATCTGGACGAGATTTTGGAGGGCGAGTGGTCGTTTGCTGAGGCTGGTGTTTCGCGTGAGTCCGATCTCCTTGGGAACGGGTGGGCAGACTTTTTCGCGAAGATGGGTGCGGCTCAGATCCGAGCGGCCGAGAGTGCAGTCGAAGCAGTCAGAGTCGGCCTCAGCGAGGCCAAGCTGAATCTTGATTTTATTTCGCGGGCGGCCCAAGTCGTGGCCGCGTCTTCGGTCCCCGAACCGAGGCCGCCTGCCAGGCCGAGAAACTCCACGGCCCCTCCTTTGGCCCTGATGGCCCACGACCTCGAAACGATTCCGTCGGGAGGTGTGCGGTGCACATGGTGCCACAGTATCGCGAAGTCGGCAGGAGGCCGAGCCAGGCTTGAGCAGCCTAGCGCGGTCTGCAGGCCGACCGACTTGCATTTGTTTTTAGCTGCTGTCCGACACCACCGCCTCGGGGGCGTCCTCCCTAGGGCGCGAGGTGAGGCGGTGCGTCGAGCGTGGCAGGCCCTCGGCTTCGAGGGAGAGCAGGGTGAAGCTGTCGCCCCGCCGTCGGTCTTCCACTTCTTGCAGCACCAGGTCGCGGCTGTTGGCCGCTACCTGATCTGTCAACGTTGTGGGGCCCACGCGCTGATTGAGGCGCCGAGCTGGCGCGCCCTGCTTAAGACCTGCGCGGGACGCATGTCCAAGGACCAGCGGTGGTTCCTGGACCGTGTCTGTGCAGGGCGCGAGCCCCGATAGGGGCGAGCAAGGGTGGGCCGACCCTGGGGGTTAGCCCACCGCCTGCTTGCCCCTATCTGGGGCTCGTTCTTTCCTTGCGGGCGGTGCTGCACTGAGCACCCGCCCTTTCCTTTCTGTTGAGAGGCTTGCCTCTCGGTGCTCGCGGCCAGCGCCCGAACGGACGAGCGCTCGCATCGGCGTGGAACGTGGAACGTCGCCGTCGTCGCCGTCGTCGCCGTCGCCGTCGCCGTCGTCGTCGTCGTCGCCGTCGTCACCGTCGCCGTTGTCGTCGTGGCCACCGCCGTCTTCGTCGTCGCCGCCGTCGTCGTCGCTGTCGCCGCCGCCGTCGTCGTCGTCGTCGTCGTCGTCGTCGCCGTCGTCGTCGTCGTCGTCGTCCTTCGTCGTCGCCGTCGTCCTCGTCTTCGTCGTCGTCGTCGCCGTCGTGTTCGTCGTCTTCGTCGCCGTCGTCGTCCTCGTCGTCACCGTCGTCGTCGTCGTCGCCGTCGTCGTCCTCGTCGCCGTTGCCGCCGTCGCCGTTGTCACCGTCGCCGTTGTCGTCGTCGTCGTCGTCGTCGCCGTCGCCGTGGCCGTCCCCGTCGCCGTCGTCGTCGTCGTCGTGGTCGTCGTCGTC